AAAAGCATCAATAATTTTCATAAGTAATAAAAGTTTAAATCTTTTTATTTGTGAATTATCAAATTATTAACTGTGATATGTTACATGTAGATACCGGATTTTTACATATTTTTACTAGAGTTCAGAGTCTGCAGCTCCAATTGGATATGATTTCTCGATAATTCATTTTCGTATGAAGTGATATACAAAATTTTTTAGAAAAGCATATTTCAATAATATTTTTAGGAATATATTGCCATATTGGGGTTTGGTTTAAGCATTATATAAAAAAGTTAATGGTTTATAAAAAAATGCAGAAATACCCATTCATTTGTCGTCTCTGTCTTTCACATGTATGACATTGCAAATTTCCACTCACCAGTTTCAATAGTGTGCTGTTAGTTTTGATATAAGAGTAAATTGGCCTATTATCAAACTTTTAGGTAAGAACATTATCTGTGCTTGAACAACCGTGATTTTTCAATATTTTAATTTTCAAGCCAGACATGAGCATTTGTAATTTATAATATTTTACACACCCATATATTGCTTGAAAATTAAAATATTGAAAAATAGTGTTTATACCTAAAAGTTTGATAATAGGTCAATTCACTCTAATATCAAAACTAACTGCACACTATTGAAACTGGTGAATGGAAATTTACTATGTTGTACGTGTGTAAGACGGAGATAACAAATACATGAGTAGCGTCCTCTTAAATAATAATTCATGTCTATATATGTATTTATACTTTTGTATTCATGTTGCTCTTTTATTCTTAGCTAAGATACATTTTTTATGACATGAAAAATGAATCAACTGATTGCATTTATGTAAGAATATAGGATTCACCATTTTATTGACATGTTACTTGATTTTTTTTTAGTTTGACGAAGAAGAACAACAAGTAGAAAGTCAGTCATTTACTAAAGCTGGTCGAAAGCGACTTTTCTCAAAAGAATTGCGTTGTATGATGTATGGTTTTGGTGATGATGAAAATCCATATACTGAAAGTGTTGACATTCTTGAGGATCTAGTAATTGAGTTTATCACAGAAATGGTATTATAATAAGCTTTTATGAATTATTATCATAATTATTATTAATAAATAATAACTATTAACTATACTCTATTCAGAATAAGAACAGTAGTCGGCGTCAACAGGTTTTTGTCAGTGCGTATTTAGGGGGGGGGGGGCAATTTCCCCGGGGCGCCAAATTCTGAGTACTCAAAAGGGCGCCATTGCTAGAGGTTATAACAAAATTATTTTTTTATTTTATTGGATTTGTTGAGAAATTATATTAGTGACAACTGATAAGTGAATACCTGTATCTTTCTTATAATATATTTTTTATTTCTATACATATTTCTATGTAATATAATTATATAATGTATTTTATTAAATTGTCGTAAAAGAAGGCTAAAAGGCTAAAATCAAAATTATAATTTATTTATTTAATTAGAAATAAATGGAGTGTTAATGGTAAAATAAAAGTGTTCTCTAAATTAGTGGAAGCATAAATGCAATGAGGGGAAAATATACATTTTGGGTTATCAATTATCACTTTTACATGGCTTGAAACCGATTGAAAAAAATTCTGTTTTGGTTTCGATCTGTACACCGGTTTCAAAATTTTTTCGGTTTTTGGTTTTGGATTTTGTTATCAGTTTCAGTTTTTAAACTGTTTATACCAGTTTCAAAAATCGATTTCAAGACCTTTACTATTTATGTTCATTCTTAGTTTATTAATTTTTTTGAATCGCTGGATCGAGCGTCTGATCGCCTATTGTGTAAAGTTAACTTTCAAAAATGTCAAGATACAAAGATTTTCAAAAAAAATACCATTTTTTAAACTTTATTTTCGGTTTTTAATTATAATACAGGTATTTTTTTCGAGTCGGTATTGAATTTAATACCGGTTTCCAATTTTTTTCGGTTTCGGTCTTATAACGGTTTATACTGGTTTCAAGCTCTGCACTATTAACTGAGAGAAGAAATATATTGTAAATTAGAGTTTTTGTGACAATGAGTAAAAGGAAAATAAGAAAAAAAGGGGTGCCAAAATTTGTGTACCTACTACCTAGGGCGCCAAAATCTTAAATATGCCACTGGTTTTTGTCGTCTACGCACTAGTTGTTCACCAACTACTGTTCTTATTTTGAATAGAGGATAATATTTTATAGTATATATTTTACTATCATAAATAATATTTTTATCTTATTTACATTTATTTTAGACTCATAATGCTATGGAAATTGGGCGGTCAGGACGGGTTCAAGTAGAAGATATTGTATTTTTAGTGCGAAAAGATGCAAAAAAGTATGCTAGGGTCAAAGAATTGTTAATGATGAATGAAGAATTGAAAAAAGCACGGAAAGCATTCGATGAAGGAAAATTTGCTGGTAAAAATGCAATTATTTCAATCAAAAATATCGGATCTTGTTATATTTTACTAAAACCACAAAAATTATTAATAACTCGATCCAGTACTTATAAAATATTTAATGTTGAAGTACTCCAAATAATAATTATTTTATTGTTACAGGTAATGAAGTCCCCAACAATGGAAATACTAGTATCACTAAATAATGACCAACACCTTTATGTTAAATTTATATTTATTTGTATTACTCAACATGTACTTATACATTAATTAATACTGAACACTTTACTTTTATAAATAATTGAAGAATTATAACTTTGCTTTTTTTTTTTTCATTAAAATTATATATTTTTCTGTAAAAAAATGTGTTATTCAAAATAATATACTTACTGTAAGTAAACAATACCATTTTGGTATAACATGTTTAATTTACAGCAGTTATTTACTTATTAAGGGGATTCGATACCGTGATTTTCTGTTTTTGTCTAACACACTCGCGACATAGTATTTTAGACGTGTTTTTTGCCAAACATACCAATTGATCCAATGAAGCGATAAGAATTCTGAAAACAGATTTGAATTTTTCATAAAGTCTACTAGAAATCGACTTTCCCACATTTTTGATATTATCCCCCGAATTTTTTAAAATGTCATATTCAAAAAGAGTATTAAAAAATTCTGTTATTTCAATTTTTGGAGAAGTTAAAATCAAAAAATCAAAAATGTGGGAAAATCGATTTCAAGTAGACTTGACGACAAATTAAAATCTGTTTTCAGAAATCTTATCGCTTCAATAGATCAATTGGAATGTTTGGCAAAAAACACTTCTAAAATACTATGTCGCTCGTGTGTTGGACAAAAACAGAAAATCACGGTATCGAATCCCCTTAAAGAACATAAGTAATAAAGTATCTGTATAAAAATATATATAAGGTCAAAACTGAGCACATCAGAAATAACTTGGTTTTTAAATTGTTGTATATTATAAATATACATACTAATGTAGGGGTTACATTGTAAAAAACTAGTAATAATTGAATGTTTTAATCTATTGACAATAATAGACACATTCCCACACACGAGCTGTAAAACATATTTATTTTTTAGAAGAAAATGTCCAATAATTTTCTTTTCTGGGGTATCAACTAAAATGATTCAAGGCATCTCTGCGTCAATTAGTTAGTAAGATAACTGTTGACCAAACACATATTGTTTATTTGTACCCAACGGTTAAATAAAAAGGTCTTTTTGTATTACAAATTATTATCAGAATATTAAATTATTTCTATATATTATATAATAACAATACTACAATAGCCTAAAATGTAAATAAAAAAATATTCCTTTTGGTTTCAATCGATTACAGTTATTAGGTACTTAAATGTTTATTCTACAATTTACATAGAACAGAATAACGATTACCTTTAATATAATTGAGAAATGTAATTAGGTATTTATGATTGTATTATAATATATTTTATTTAACCTAAATATTAAGATTTACCTAATAATTATTTTTTAGTTTTTGGAAAACTGGATTATTTTACATAGGTAATTCTTGTATATCAAATGCATTATAATATTATCTAATAGCATTATTTCTTAATATATTCCATGTCTGATTTCTCTTAGGTTTTTTAAGAGTGCACTACACCCACAAGTGTTGTCTCTGTCTTACAAACTTACACCATAAAAAATTTTATATTCACATATTCATAAAAATCCATATTAGTCAATTATTTTTAAGATTAGAGTGAAGTGACCTGATCACAAAATGTAAAGGTAAGATTATCTGGGACATCTCTAAGAGTCGTATTGTTATATTTATGAACCAAGAAAATCTGTAAAACAAAGTTTTTGGAGTCTGTTGAATGTATTAAATTACATGGTGCATGTTAAGTTTTAAATTATATTACACATAATATTACTATTTACTACTCAATACTGTTCATCGTTCAATGTTCATTATTCATTTTGTACTGGAAATTGAAATATTGGATAGTGAACACGATTAAACTATTAAAGATATATCATATATATTATATTGGCCCGTATGCATAGTCGGTCACGGAGGCATGTAAACGATACTTAGCGAGCCCTTAAATTTGGATTGCATAGTCAAAATTTAATCGTGTAATTAAGTAAACTTTAATCAGTTTTTTAAATAATTTTAAATTTATCGATACAATAATTATTGTATGCGTCTGTGGAATTCACTCACTTACCGGCACTGGCCTATCGCCTATGTACATTGTGATTTGTGATTCTACCATAGAACATTTTAGTATTTTACAATCAGTAGTCAGTCAGTCGTGTCTTATCTATCTGGATGGTCTGTCGCATACGTGTCTGTTATCAAAATTTTAAAAATTTAAGTTATAATTATTCATTATTAGCTTAAAGTTTTGAACTATTCGGTAGTTCAGTCTTCAACCAGTTCCACCTATTATTCTTGTTTGATCATGGTGCCAGTCAGTAGCAGCAGCCAGTAGTCCAGGTGCATCTCGGAAATTGGTTAATAATCCCACAATATCTTACGGATTAGATATATTCTATTTAAGTATAATACGTGTTGGTCTTTATAGTTAATATCGGTAACAGTTTATTAAACGTATCACACTCACACACGATACATAATGGAAAATTTATACCACCAGACGAATAGGTTGATATTAGAAACTCAAGAATTATTCCATAGATTGGAGAGTTCGAAATCAGAACTAGTCGAAGCTGATGTACAATCCAGAATATTAACCATATCGCAGTAATAAATATGTTTTTGTTTAATATACCTTATTGCTTTGTTTGTATAAAAACGTTCACTAAATTGTATATTTTGTTTAGAAATTGCGAACACCTAGACATTCTCGTACACAAAGAACCTGTTTCCAGACGCAACAATGCCAAACTACGTGTGGATCAACTCAAATACGATTACCAGCACTTGCAGGTTAATGCAATATTTATTATACAATTTTTAATTTTTATCAAATTTAAAATTTATAAATATATATTAGTCGGCATTAAGAACACATCAACAAAATCAGCTGAGGAGATTGAGAGTTGAGCAGGAACGTGAAGAGCTGTTAAATCGTCGGTTTACTAGAAATGCAGACATGAACGATACAACAATATTAATCGATAGTTCAATACAACATCAAAATTCACTACAAGTACTTTTTATATTATAATTAAATATAAAAATTAAAATAAACCGTATTGTTTATTTCAGGGAGCAAATCGAGGAGTTGATGATTTATTAGGATCCGGTGCCAGTATACTACAAAGTTTGCGTGAACAACGTGATCGACTAACAAGCACCCGAAATCGTTTGACTGGAATTTTTGGTTCACTTAGACTTTCCAATACAACTATGAAATACATTGAAAAGAGATTAAAAGAAGATAGGTATATACTATACGGAGGAATGGCCATCACAATTCTAATTATAATTATAGTAATGATATATTTCAGTTGATGATCATTGATCAAATAAAGTTAATATTTTGGTGAGTTATACCATAAATTATAATTATCTAATCTACCTTATGGTGTTATATTTTATATGTATCTAACAGTTAATTGTTACTATTTAGGTACTAAATTATTTTTGTACATAACCAAAATATTTTTTAACTATTTATTTATTAATAAGAAAAATGTGATGTTTATTAATTAAAATAAACCAAACTTTAAACTTGTTATATTCTTTTTTAGATTCTGAGCTGAATGATGAATATATTGATTTTACAATGATGTATGGACATTGGTAAAGCGTGTGATCTACTGGGTCCTCCGTGATCTACTATTAATAGGTAACGGATAATATGCCTTTTGTGACTAAATACACAGCGATAATGTACGATAACGTCTCGAAAAACCTATTAAAGAAATAAATAGCTAACAGTTCACTTCGTCTATCATCTGTGAATTTATATGTTTACCATTAACCTAGTCGTGTGTGCACGAGTACGTAGTGTATTTTAAAAATGTTAGCATCGGATTTTATAAAATTATTAATTCTGAGAACTTTAGTGTAGAATTTCATACTTCTGTCTAAATGATATTGGCTATAATCATTTAACTGTCAATCATTCTCAAAATTTTGTGAATTCTGTAAATGGGGCTGACACGCAAACAATAGAATGTTTATGGTCAATATTAAAATTTAAAATATTAAGAAAAATGCATGGGACTAATGAAAATCTATTACCACACCATTTAATTGAATGTTGTAACCGCTCAATGAAGAATAGAAATAATTTATCTATACATTTTTTGGAAGACATAAAAAAAGTTTGTTTCATAAAAAATGATATTGTAACTATTATCATATTTTGAACACAATTTTTATATTTTGAATTTTTGACTAATACTAATTGTTTCATTTGTTTTGTGTACTTTAATGTATTAAATATAGTTATTTTTTTAATTGAATAATAATATAATATTACATATTTATTTATTTATCTACTGTTTTATCGGTAGATCACACGCTTTACCAATGCCGATGTATGTTGTATACTTTTATAGTAAAAGAAAAAATGCTTCAATCTTCAACTTTGAGGGTGGTTTTCGATACCAAATTATATTTTTTCTAGTTATTATTGGAAGGTGAAAAGTAAAAATTTTTAATTTTTTAATGTAATCCTAACAGTTGAAATTTGAAACATTCCACTAATACTAAAATGACCTTTTTTATACTAAATTAAATTTTAAAAATTTTGAGAGTAATTATTTATAGCTACTTATAGGCATTTAACAGACTTGTGTTAATACAGTTTTAGACTCGGGCAAATCTTAAAAATTTAATGTAAGGTCCTCTGTCCATCTTAATTTGTTCTTATAGCAATTTAAAAATACATAAGTTCAAATTTTGAAAATTATTTTTTAATAAAAAATGTATAAAACATTTTTAGATAAGGCTTGTAATTTTGCCGAAATTGGATATTAAACAAAGAATTAATGATTCTAGTTATTTTGTTGTAATTCAAAATTATATTGTTGAAAACTTTAAATGTTTAGGTATATTATTATTTAACATGAAGACATTTTTGAAATATTTAGATAAATTTGAATCTGTTATATTTTTATTCCGTATACTTTTTACTGTATGATCAATAGTAAAATAAAATGCCATAATAATTAATAGAAATTGATTTATATGAGATAAGCTCTGATTCTTTTTTTGTATGCAATGATTTATTATTGAATTCAAATTTAACATATTCACTACAATGGCCTACTCAAGTACACTCAACTACCTAGTCAACCAGCAGAACGGTTACCAACTTGCTCATATTTTTTTAAATTTATGAGTGAAAAACAATTATAATACATAAAAGAGAATCCCTAAAAATAGTTTTTTTTACTAAAAGGCATAAATCAAAGATACATGTATTCAGTTTTGACAGTTAAACAAAAGAAAAAACTCAATGTGAAAAATATTTTTGCTGGTGCAATTAGAGAATAATTTAAATTCAAGTGATTAACTCATTACTCATATAGGTACTAATATTATGTAATATGTGCAATATCCACTTAGTTGTTAAAAAAGATGAATTATTCTCTTTCATAACTACATGCACATAACACATTACTTTGTTTCAACGACAATCATTCAATCATTGCATTAAGTAATTGTAAGTATACTGGTAATTAAGTTATAAAAATTGTATGATGTAAAATACTTATTAAGTTAGCAAGTAATATCTAAGTAAGCAGTGTTAACTTATGATTTATGTTAATTTATAACAAATTATTAATTAACAATATACATACTATACTTATATAGTACCTATGGCTTACGTAAATCATTTTAATATCTTAATCTATGTTTTAACAATATTGTTAAATAATATAATCATAGGCGTAGTATACATGGGGCCACATACATATTTGTAGCCCCCTATTGGGGTTTATCTTCATTTAAAACATTTTATTCGAAATTATAGTTTTAAATGTCTTTATAATTTTCCCTGAAATTCATCAAAGCTTCAAATATTAGTGTAATGTTTATTGACAATATTATTGTACTTACATACATATTCATTATACCTATTTATTTTTATCATAAACATGTTTGTTTATATATGATAATATGTCTAACGAATAAATACATTTTGAACACTGGAAAATAAATACTTATTTTAAAATAATAGACTGTGTAATAAATGGCATGAAAAATGGATTTTTGGTAGAAGGTCTAAAAATCAGTGTAGGAGTGGACAATTTTATACAATTAAAATATAAAGGAAGTATTGAGTTTGTTAATAAGTTTGAAGTTTAAAACTATATATTAAGTTTCATAAAAATGCTGTTATTTTTTTCAAATTTATATTCTAGAAAATATTAAACATAAGTCCAGAGAATTTTAAGGCTGAAATGATAGTCCTAAAAATATGCTAATTAAAGAAAACTATGAAATGGATGACATCATACACATTATTAACAACAATATTTTTCTACATTTTAATAAACTTTTACCAATATCATCTGCCTCATGTGAACGTTAATTTTCTGTAATGAGGCTAATAACTAATAAGGAATTGTCAATTGGACTAGAATAATCATGACAAATGATAGGTTTAAAAACTTGTCAATACTTCATATTGAAAGCGATTTATCACATGCAATAGAATCGGAAAATGTACTCAATATTTTTGCAGAAAAACACAGACGTCTAAGTTTGATTTAATAATTTAATTTTAATTGTTTTATCTTTTATGTATTGTGAAATTCAATGTCAGGTTAAGAATAGTACCTAGTCAAATATAAATTGTTTTTCCTAGAAAATATTTTCTTTCCCTTTAATTAAAATTAAATATAAGGAGTTTTGGAATACATTTTTCTAGTCCTATATAGCCCCCACAGATAATTATACCAAACTAAGCCCATAAATATAATATACGTTGTATATTTAGTAAATTATAATGTTATTTATAACAGCAAGAATAAATTATCATAATTTGTAAGGAGTAAAGTATAGGCAATTTAAATAGCTTCGCGGGGGAAATAATTCATAGATCCATATGTCTGTTAGCCTGGTTTACGATGTAGAGAAGATTCTTCTTTGTTAAATAAAATAATAGGCGAATAGCCTTCTCTAATTCAAGCAAATAAGTGTTTATTGAAGTAGGTATTCTATGTATACAAATAGCAAATCAAAAATATCGACAATAACTCAATTGTAAAACGAGTATTGTTAAAATTTCGAAAAATTGCTTTTATAATTTAAAATTTACACAAAAATTATTTTAAAAAAATACTTTATCTGAACTCATATAGAAAAATTGAAGTTGCCAATAAAAAAAGTATGCTGTATTGCGCAAAGGGGTTAGACATTTAAAATTTGTCTGAAAATGTGTACATCGGTACTCCTGAAAACCTAATTTTAATCCAACATTATCCAGCTGAAATATTAAATGTTATAACACCTCATGTCGTGAATACGGACAAACGTAAATTATGCCAAACGAAGTGAAAAATTGTAAATTGCGCCAGGTATTCTTCAGGTACACTATGTATAGAAAATTGCTTTATAGTAAATTTCGCTAAATAGATATAATATTTTTTTGATACCTAGTCATTTAGAGGATATACCCAGGTCCCAGAGGACACCACGAGGAGGTGATTATAAACATAATTTTTTGGTAGATTAATTTAGGTATGCAGTAAATAATAATAAAAAATTTTAATATTAAAAAATACAATTTTAAGTTATTGGATTCATTAATTATTTTTTATGTAAATTTCAGATTGTAACTAATATTTTATCCATAAAATTATAAATATGGGGATGAGGTATATAAAATCGTTTACTAAATTTACTGTGGAAAGATTCAAAGGCATTAGTTGTCCGAGTTAATGTTACGGATGCCCAAATATTCGGAGGAAAGTCAGCAAATAAAATATACGTGTTTAAAATACCTATAGCAAGAAACTTGTGTAGGATGTACATTTGCACCAACTTTTTTTTAAAACGCCTTCTTTGGCCTGCCAACAAAAATAAAAGCGCCGATATACCTAAATGTTTTAATGTATTATATAAAAAAAAAATGTAAATTGGAATTAAATTTACATTAATAAAGATTATTAATATTATATATATATTTTATATTTTTCAGTATTAAAAAAAAAGTTTATTTGAGTTAAATAAAAGTTAAGTCAGAAATTTGTTTACTTGTGAATTATTAAAATTTTATAATTTTAATTATTTTAATAACAGTATTATATAATATAATTTGGTATTATAGTATTATATACAGTGGAACCTCGATAACTCGAATCGGTTGGGGGCGAAAAAAAAATTCGAGTTATCGAAAATTCGAGTTATAGAAAAATCTGTGTGTACTTATTGAAATGAAGGGGCGAAGATATTCCTTCGAGTTATCGAAAATTCGACTTATAGACGTTCGAGTTATCGAGGTTTCACTGTATATAGTATTATGATGTTTAAAAGGTTTTTAATTAATATTAATTTGTATAGTTTTATATAATTTTATTTTATTAATTCATCAAGTACCTACAACCTACTTAAATATGAAAAAAAAAACAACTTATATGATGAATTATAAGCAAGGTTTAAGTGACATAAATTCAAATGTATATTTGCTGAGAGAGGATCAAGCAATTATTAAACAATAAACAATATTAACAAAATTATTAAAGCACACATTGTTAAGCAAATATTCTTTTCTGTGCTCAAAATCTAAAAGGTTAGTGAGAATTTATCTCCCATATTTCCCGTGGGTAGGGCCCTTAGGGGGGAGCAATTTTTTTCCTTGGGACTTAGGGGGTGCCAATTTTTTTTTTTTGCACCTTGGAGAAAAATGTCTAAATGCGGCATTGTATGTACCTATCATAATATTTTGATATGAAACATACTAAATACCATCAACTTTTTAGAGCTAATAAATTATTCATTGTTCAATTTTTTAAAGTTTAGAAGAAAACTTATAAGTATGATTTACATTTTTATTTATATCTAATTAATATCATAAAATAAGTGAAGGCAGTATATTTTGAAAAATTTGTTTGAAAATAAGATTATATAAAACATTTTATGTACCTAGGACCTAGGTTTGGACTTATGTTTGTATGAAAAATTAGTTACTTTTTTAAAAACATATGAAAATGTAATCATGTACCAAACTCATCCTTAGATACATAACTAATTTATGTTACTCTGAAATATGGTACAGTTAAGTCGTATAACTGTAAGTGTAAGCTATGTTTTGATACTTGACTCACGGTACCTATACTACCTACCTACTAAAATAAATTCTGGGAAGGTATGAGTGTATGACAATAAACCGCTTCGTATTATGCATATTTGAATGAATTAGATTTTAAATAGCAGAGTTATACTGTCGTCTCAAACACACTTTCACACCATTACGGGCTGCGCGTCGCTAGTGTTGATCAAGGGAGCCGCGGCATAGAACATAGAAGAGGAACAAAATATATAAATAAATATAATAGGTAACATATAAATTGCATAACTGCCATAACAACTACGTTATATTTTTTTGTCATTAATAATTTGGGAGCAGGCAAAATTTTGTGAAGAGACAAAACTAATTACAGCCGTGGTCATGAAGAAGTTTGAATACCTCCGTCCCCTTCAGTCCTCTGTTATGCATATTATTCTAGAATCTAGATCTGCTCAGTTAGTAGTTAGTATTACCAATTGACAATTACCAATGGGCAATGAGTACCTACATTATAATTTATTATTGTGTAGTATTATAGTTAGTACAGTATTGTAGCTTACAAAATTGACGTCTCACTGGACGGGATAGGGGTACTCTTCCCGACCATAGGCGTAAATCCCGTTAATCCCCCAATATCTAATTGCCCCCTCTCAAAATAAATATACAGTTTTTTGGTTGTTGGGATCGAAGCCCCGCTCACATTCATGTTGAAAATGTTAGCCCCCCGTCTGAAATTTAAATGGATTTCCTCCTATCCACCGGACACGTTTTTAATATTACCGAATAATCTGTTTAGTTGGTATTGCGTGCATAATCATAACTCTAAAGGCTATGTCAAACAGAACGCTTTATAACGCTCGTTAAAACAGTAAATGGCTCGTTGGCGTGGTCAGTGCCACATTTAGACATTTTGAGCCCCGGTGCAAAAGAAAATTGGCGCCCCCTAAGGGGCCTACCAATGGAAAATATAGGAGATAGATCCTCCATTAACCTTTTAGATTTTGATCACAGAAAATAATATTTGTTTTACAATGTGTGCTTTTTTTTTAAATATTGTTTTGTAATTGCTTGATCCTCTCTCCGCAAAGATACATTTGAATTTATGTCACTTAAACCTTGCTTATAATTCATCATATAAGTTGTTTTTTTAACATATTTAAGTAGGTACTTCATGAATAAATAAAATAAAATTATATAAAACTATATGCAAATTAATAATAATTAAAAAAAATTCAAACAGCATAATACTATATATATAAATATATAATACTATTATAGGTACTAAATTATATTATAATATAATACTGTTATTAAAATAATTAAAATTATAAAATTTTAATAATTAACAAGTAAACATATTTCTGACCACAACATTTTAGCGCCCCTAAAATACTGGCGCCCGGGGAAGTTGTGCCCAGCCCCCCCCCCCAATGCGGCCCTGGGTACATAGTATTTTCTATGTGCACAATGAGGTTAAATATTATCCAGTTTTGTTTAAATCTGAACTTGTAATCGAAACGTACTAAACTTAATGTTCTAATGTCGTGTGTAATACATTTTTAACATAACGTTCGGTAAAACCTTTTTCAAGAAATACTATATTATACTATACTAATATTATAGTTGACTATCGAAATCACTTTATTTGAGCTTAAAAAAAAATAATAACAATTGTCAATTACTTATGAACAACATCAATATGATAGTGGTTTCACGCGAGTGAATAACCCCGCGTTGTAACAAATTATAAGGTTTCACGCGAGGTGAAAATAAAGCTTTCTGTTTGACAAAGCCCAGTGGCGCCCCCCCCCCCCCCCAATCACCATAGTTTTCCTTTGTTTTACAATGTGTTTGGCCAATTTTGGAACTTTTTGTATTTTTGCCCCCCATGCCCCTACCAAAATTAAGCCCTGGGTCCGCCACTGACAGAGCCTTAATTGAGAGGCGCCTGAAACTTGTCAAAATCGCAACACAACTCTCGCGGTAGAAACCTGTGGTAGCCCCGCCGGTTACAATTCACGTTTCCTGAAATGCCCGCTAGGGTGAACCGCTTCGCAGACATAACCGCCACCACCGCCACCAAGACACCGTAACCGGAACGCGGAGAAACCGACGCGCTGTTGCTGCGTAACGTCGTCACTCGGCCACCGTCGTTCGCTCGTTCTCCACGTCCGTTTCCCACTCGCTGCGGTCATTCGTTTTTCGCGCGCTGTCGTCGTTACCACCACTACCATAACCGCGGTGCGGGTACGTCTGCTGTCGAGAAACACAACGTTCTTCCCCCACCACAGTCCGTTGCACGGAATTGTACCCGGCGGAGAAAACGTCAACCTTTTATTAATTTTATTTTACGCAGACGAAAAATTACTGCGATCCCGGACGCGCGCGTGCGTCCTTTGCGTTTTTGTCGTTATTGTTATTATTATTTTTTTTTTTTCTGCCAAGTACGGTTGTTGAAATTTTATTTTGTTAATTAATTTATAAAAGTTTGCTACTTTGCTCTCACTTTGACGGCGACTGTATGCGGCACTGCACGTGACCATTTCACCTATACAACGGCGGTTGGTACGTATTTTATCGTTGTATAAATGATATTATAATATTATTATTGGTCTCTGCCGTGTCCCGCGCTACCGTTCAGAGGTCACGCTCGCGTTGGGACAGTGATTTGACGACAACGCCGCCTCCGCTCCGTTACGGACGGGATTGTTGATGGGTGTGTGTTTAGTGACATGCGTTTTATATTTGACAGACATGACTAGATCCACACTCATCCATGTTCCCGGGCCTGTTCGACGGGTGTTTAAAGCGGTAAACATCGCAGAAGAGCCACGGTCCACAAGCCAAGTCGACCCTTTTTGGCGCGCAAGGCGCAACAAGTGTGCAGCGTGACAAAGGGACGTGCGCGCGCACTCAGTCGTGAGTCGCGGTGGCACATTCTCTCACACAGGTCGCCGTAGTCACCTCGACTGTTCGAGGGGGTAAGTCAAGACTAGTGGGACAACCCTTATCCACTCACTTATCGGTTTGGGTCGTCTTTTAATCACCTACCTTGGTGACATTGTTACCCCTCAACCCACCCACACGGGGATAACTGATAAATTTTTACCTACCATAATTCATTATGTTCCTTTATTTTCCGGACCTTCCTAAATATGTTTCTAATCGTTTCTGTACTATCCCGCCCCAAATCATTACTGTAGGTTTCCAAAAAAATATAAAAATGGTGAAGGTTAAATTATAGTTTTTGATAATAGATGAATGTTGGTGTTATCATTTCTTAAGTTTATAACATAATACATAGTAATACTATTATTATAAGCTGACCATTATTCCACAAACTATCTGTAACAGTAGCACCGTACCTATTGGCATTTAATTATATTAAGAATTGTTTTTTTTTATTGTTTTCATACAGAGGGAGTTGAAAATAAATGTATTGGTAGTGTTAGTTTATGTATTGTGCCCTGTAGGCACAAAAAATATGGGTTTAGAAAATGTGATTAAAATCAAATTTTGTAGTTGTAAAATTTCTGACAACTAATAAAATTGACCTATCTATATAATGTATTATAAAATATAATGTTTTACTAAAGGTAGGCATTCAAAATACTTGTATAGCAATTGCTACAAATTATATGAAGTGAGTCGATGACAGCTCTAACTTGCATATTTTAATGTATGTTTTTTTTTCTATCCATGGGAATTTATCTATTTCTTTTTTATTTATATTATTAAATATTTACTGCTAAAATCATTTTTATATATTATTATATTCAAATTTATAATGAAAAATGTTTCTGCTTTACAAATTACCATTGTTACTAAAATATTGTTGATTGGTTAAATTAGCATAGTTATAAAAATAAATTAAATCTTTGAATTTAAATCATTAGTTTAGTGATCAAAATTGAGAGTTAAGATTTATTTTAATGTTTTCTATTTAATCACTCAATTCTTAAGTATATAATTCAGTAATAATATTACATTATTACTTGCTATTAGAATAGAATTGAAATTGGAATCCTAAAAATGGGCCTCTAACCTATATATATATGTATGATTATCAGCTTTTAAATATAAGCTTTGTGTTACTAACAAATTGTATGTACTACCTACCTACATTATAAATGTTTTTTTTTCGACACTTTTATATTTCCGAGGTGTACCTCTTAAGATTTTATTTTTAAATAATACATCATTCTTACAGCATGTTTTTGAAGTAGATCAACAACGTCAATCCATCATAAATATTTATTATAATAACTATCAATGCATACACAAGTGATGTTAAAGTATGAAGACATAATTTACCCTATAATTGACCTAATTAACTTTAATATCTAGAGAATTATTTATTATATAGTTGAAATCAAAAAAGTATAATAGATCAAATTTAATTGTAAGTATCTACTTAGTTTAAATCGATTGTTTAATAGTTGAAAACTGTTCAAATAACTGAATATAAATCAATTATTAAAACATTTAGAAGTAAGGTATCTGAAATTTTGAAAAAATCTACATAACCTTTATTTTTGAAATGTATGCAAAAACAATTTTATAATCCCTATTAGTTGTATTATGTTATTATTTCAGAGTTGAATGATTATTATTAGTGAAGACTGAAAACTATAAAAAATATATCAATTAATATACTAAACTCTTGAGTACCAGCCTATTTTTGCTGTTTTTTTTTCAAGGTTACCCTATTTGGTCAGTCTGTCTAGTCACTAGACTCTAGTGACACCTCTATCTAATTTCTTTCTATTTCTTGTGTTTTTTTTTTTTTGCATCAAACAATATTTAACAGGTTTTTTGCCCAGGAACATTAATTCTGTATATTTCTTATCATGAATGCTTGTTTCAATATTCCGAAAACAAAATTTCCCATTTTAAATAATATATACTTATCAAAGGGTAAATCACATATTCACATAATCAATAATTATGCTAAACAGTAGTGACTAATTTCTTATTGTCATCACTAACTATAGTAACTACGAAATACTAATGATTATTTTTTATTCCCATGTACAATAATATGATGTTAAAACGACTACGTCCAATTTTTACCTAGGAAAAAACTTAAGTCGTGTATGGTCAATTGGGTTTAAGTCTCGTAATGGGGAGGGTTGATTGTTTTTCATCTGAACACAGTATGCGGGTGGCACACGGCAATGGTTGCGATGGTGGTAAGGGAGGTGTTTATAAGCTGGCTTGACTGGTACTCGATTCACGTAATCTGGTGTACACCCGCATCGGAAAAACGCTGGTTGCATAGCCTCGTTTTCCCCTTTACATCCTAAACAATAAATAATTATCGTTACCCGCATGAGAATAAAAATCCCCTAAAAAATTTTAATGATTAGGACTCGTCACACAGTCGATTTGGTTTTATATCCCATTAATCGTCACTCGTCATTACTCATTAGTCAATACCCGTTACCCATTACCCACTTTGGTCGAGGAATTGATTACAATTCGGATAATGTTAATAATATTATGTAGGAATGTTATTCGACATGGGTTAGAAAAATATATAGTAATAATAACAGTTAATATTCATACGAGATACTGACAGTTTTTTTACACGTACGTCGAGGATATTTTTTTTACCATTATTGTGATAAATGATAATTGTATTAAGAAATTGTTTGAAGATCAAGTTGACGTTTATAAAGTAATTAGTGGCATCTGTTCAGTTGTTTTTAGCGTTAACTATTTATGTCACTTCTTTCAAAGGTGTTTCTCGTTTATTGTTGTCTATGCACTTCCATTATTAATTTTAAGATAATAGTTGTTGACGTGCTACCGAATAAAATGAATTACTAAACACATTTTTCAATAATCTCGATATTTTAATTTTTAGTACAATGATGCCTATAATATATTAAACTTGTTCTAATAACGATTTCTGAATAGGACAATAAAATATATGTATGCTATTATTGCTATTTATAATTTGTTGAATTAATGATTTTTGTGCCGTTGTTGCAGTTACTTTTCGTAGTAACTATTGATTATTAATTATTAGTAATTCAATATTGGTTTTAAAATCTATAACAAACAAATTTCGACAAGTAATACGCTTTGTTTCTCGTTATTTAAAAAAAAATGCATCATTTTGTTGAAACTATTATTTTGTTCAGACTAAATTATAATTAGAGTTATGTTTGTGTGTGTCTTTGATTTCTTGCTTTCGTCACCTGACCGGAAAATAACTGGTACGATGGTGTTTGATGTACTTTAAGATATTTTATTGTGAACGCGGGGGAGCCATTTTGAATCGTGCTGTGAGACTAGGAAATCCTACAAGCGAGATGAGAAGTTTTTCGTCTACCGTTTGCTTGGTTAGGTTACCCATGTCGTCGGCGGAGCGGTGGTAGTCGTGGTACAAATAATCATTAGTGGCGACGGTTACAAAGGGCGTTTTTGTTTTCTCTCTCTCTCTCTACTTTTTTCGGTGTGTATTTGTTTTCGGTTGTGAGAAGACCATCGGCGACGTAGAGACGCACACAGACACGGTAGACAAGAGCGAAAGAGAAGAGAGGCGGTGGTGTTGGGTATGGCGGAGATGACCCGCGCACAGCTATGTCGAAAAGGGGGGAAAAGACGGCGGCGATTTTAGACAACCGAAATCGGCTCCGTTCGTGCCGAAGACAGCGGTAGGGCGAAAACCGGTTTTCCGTAGGTACGCGCGCGCACACAATTTACTCGGCCACCACCTGGACGTGTGTGTGCTTCTTTTTTGTTTCTGGGCGCCGGAGAAGGGGAGAGCTGACCCAGACAACTTATTCGCCTCCGTTGGCCCGACGAGCGTCGCATCGGAATATAAAAAAAAAAAGAGATATATAATAATAAAATATAAAATCATACATTGTCCGAGACCGAAGAGAGAATCTTACGTCGGTGGTATAACGTAACAATAATAATTATTACGGGCGGTGCGCGCCCCTTCTTACTCCGCGCGACTCCCTCGTCCGTTATAATATTATATGCTTGCGTGCACCGATAATAATATTTTCTTGTACGATCCATTCTACCTGCCTGTTTTATTATTATTACACGGGCACAGTAAGAATCAAAATACTATCTTATATGTGGTGAAACGAAGAGACGACATTAGAATATTATTTATTAATGTCGAGTAGGTATACGTAATAATATTGTTTACTTTAAAATACGGGTTTTATGTTTTTTGGTGGGGTTTTTTTCTTCCCCTACGATTGTTATT